TTAAATTTTTTTTTCTCTTTTGATTATTTTTGGGTATTGATATAAAAATTATTATTTTTTATATGATTTTATGTATTGTTAAATAAGTGAATATATTTGATAGTATGAATTTTAAATTAATAGAAAGAATTTAATTATTTAAATAATATATAAAATTATTAAAAAAATAATATAAAAAAATATTTCTAAATTGTTATTATTATTATTATTAATTTTTTTTAAGATTACCTTCAATATGTTTGGCTGATGGATTCCTGCTTGGTAGTTGTCGGTAGGCCCGCCAAGGGAGTCCTTTTCGTGCATGTGATGTGAACATGGTTACATCGTGGGAATGAGACGAAACAATTAATTTCGACATTTAGAAGGGAAGGAAAGCAACCGCTGTGTTTGTACTTCTGTACTTTGTAGTGACCACACGATACTAGTGATGTGTGTACCACATTCAAAAGAAGTTTAAAAATCAATCGGTTCAAAGGGTGGCTAACTCTCCGGTCTTTCTGTGAAAATTTAGAAGCTCATCTGATGGGTTAGTTTTTGTCTGATGGCTTTCTTTCCTTTTTGTTCATTGAATTGAACTCCTTTTGTTGCCTTTTGTATCGAGAAAAACGTTGGAGGATGTACTATAAGGGCGTGCGAACGGAGGAATTCTGTTGTATTCTCGCCTCCCATGTGATATCTTAAATCAATAAAAGCATATTATTTTAAGTTTTTTTTGCCTTTTTCATACTTCATTGATTACGTAAGGGAGAAAAGTCAATATGGTGTGTTTTTATTAATTTGATATAGTATTCTAAGGATACAGTAAATTTGCTTCTTTTTTTTTTATGCAAAAGAAAATTTTAAAGGAATTGAGAGACATTATAATTGTATTAATAAATACTTGAATCAAAGTGCTTGATACACATTATTAACTTACTAAGAGCTGCTAGTTGAATGAAATGCTAGTTAATTAAACAAAAAATTATAAATTCTAACTTTGACTAATTAATTACAAAATGGCTTCCACCCATCCATCAATATGGTTGCTTTGGTTGGTTTGTCTTTCAATCCACATTTTTAAACACTATTCTGATTAGAAATGAATGGAGAGGTTGGGCGGCAACAATAGAAAATTGAGTATTATTATCACATAATTATAATCAACTAGTACTATATCATATACATTAGCCAAATCACAAAAACTGGTTCTTTGTTTATAGGGATCCAGCATATATATATAGAAGAGCTAGATTTGCCTTGGAATTCAAGTTTACATTAATTTTTTGTCAAGAAAAAGTAATTGCAGTGATCCTGAAGCCTAAATTGCTTCTATATAAAGAAAGAGATGCCCTTTAAATCCTAATTTACTCCCTGCCTCACATGCAACGTTTGATTCCATCAAAAATACTTCCCTCAGTTTCATCTACTATCTCTTGTATATAACTAGCAATGCTATACCCATTTGACTAACCAACCAAAAGGGAAAAGATTAATATCCAAAGCATGTGAGCAAACATGTTCTGGCATTCAATTAAGGGGAGAGAAAAGAAAAAAAAAACAACTAATTTAAGTCCAAAGATACTCTCCCCCAAGAAGGTCTTGGATTAAATTGGTAGAAGAAGAAGCAAAGTTAATGTACTGGGGATGAGGAGAGTTATTAATATTGAAGTTATTGCTGGAGAAAAGTGATGTCTTGTCATCTTGATCTATTGGAGTCAGCATTGCAGGCTCTAGCTGCATCTGAATGCGAAGTATCTCTGCTTGGGCAACTGAAAGCTGCATTTGCAGCTCGGACACTTGATTCTGAAGGTAAGATATTGCTCCCACGCATCCATATACCGGGTCTCTCACTCTCGCAGTTGCTTCATAAACCAGGCTACTCACAGCATCTTCTCTCTGGTGAACTGGAAGCTCCTGTGGAGATGGGTAAGTGACATCAAAACAAGAATCCATCATTAAGAAAGGCTAGTTTAGCTGCAAGTTGGCATTCACTAATTAATTCCAATTAAATTCTTGACTGTTAAGACCATTCCAACCTTAGCAATAATTAAGCCAATAGTCACACTAACTTCTAAAGTATGAAATAGTAAAAACAAACATATTATCTAATCCACCTAAAAACGAACGCATAGCGCTAGCTGCTTACGCCTCTATGAAAGCATAGATTGAGAGGAAAAGAAGAGAAACATATATACCCGCAACATTTTACTGACATTGCTAGCGCCAAAAACTTTGTGAACAATAGCAAACTTCTGAGGGTCATTAGAAGGGAAGTAAGGGGCAAAGATGCACTCTTTGGCACAACGACGCCTTAACAATTTGCAGGATGCACATGGTGAAGAGCCCCCCATATGATCTGGTACTACCAAGAACAACCTTACAAAGAAGAAATTAAAGGTGTCTTCTTTGATCTAAGAGGAAGAAGATATATATTCTAGAAAACGTAACACAAAGAAAGCTTGCAGTGTACAAGAGAATGAGATCAAAATGCCTATTTATATAATGGTGGGGGAGGGGGCAAACCTAGTGTAGAATGAATTCACACGTTTCATTGAAAGTAAGAAGATCAACCATACTAAATCAAATTTAAAATATTTAATTCATGGAGAATGTGCCTATGATATTCCTGAATGTGAAATTAAGAAACAACTATACAAATTAACATTTTTGGAAGTAAATATCCATCACCCTTTTCCACTCCTGAACAAAAGAGCTTGACAAATCAACCTGCACAGGGCAATAAGTCATTCTGAGATGAGGAGTAAGATGCAAAACAATGGGGTGTGAGTCGACCACCGCCTTGGCGCGTAGTAGGTTGGCATCCATGGAGTCATATACCTTCCACGTTCTGGTTTGACCCTTCCAATCAAATTATTCCATAGGAAAATTAAATTATTATTATAATTATGACTAGGTAAAATATCACACGCTATATAAAGAGGTTCATGTATTTTTACTGTCGGACTGATCTGTTTTAATGAAATAACAATATATATAATATTATAAAGAGATCCATTAATTAAAGGTAGTGAAATTATTAATATGTTATTGATAAAATAATATTAAAAATAGATTTATTAAAAATATTTTAATAAATATTTTATAATTAAGTTTTTAATTTTTAATTGGTATTTTGTATTTATATAAAATTAATTAAAGAGTGGTAATATAAGAATAATTTTTTATAATTTTTTTATATAACTTTTACATTATTAAATAAATAAATACACTCAATATTATAAATTTTAAATAAATAAAAATAATAGATAATTTAAGTGATACAAAAAATTATATAAAAATAATATAAAAAATTATTTCTAAATCATTTTCTTAATTACAAACTAACAATACTCAAAAAAAAAAAAAAGTATTGAGGACATGGCAATTAATTTTCTGTTGATAAGGCGCTCATGAGTCATGGATTAATGAAATAGTGAAGGCCAAGTGACGGCTAGTGTTCATTTTGGGTCAATCACATTTATCACATGTAGGCCAATATTTTCATACCATGTGCATGGTCCCAAAGACAACTAGTTAGATTGCGCCCTACGGAGCAGGCTAAGCCTAGGGAATTTTCATTGTAAGAAAAATGTGAAGCCTCAAGGCCCTCAACCTGGACCGAGACTTCATCACCATGGGAAATGGGCTCGATATGAATGCTTGTTGGCGAACAATTCACATGGAAACACACATTTATCTTGTCCTTCCTTAGTTGTCTCTCTTTTTCTCTCTCTCTCTTATCTTTGACTAGCTCTGCAAATCACATGGACTTTGGATGATATACGTATAGATACATGTATGTATATATATATATATATATATTAAAATTTATATTTCATAATTTAAATTATTTATTAAAAATATAATTTACTTTATAAATTTATTAAAATATTTTTAATAAAATTATATAATATAATAGGACTAGTGCATCCTTTTCAAACTAAAATTCGTATCAAATTTCAATACTTTCTGCATGATTTGTGATCAATATATAAGAAAAATATATAAAAGAAAGATTATAACGAATATCAATTCATTGACAAGTACTATTTAATTTTTAATTTTATATCTATAAATGAGTGTCTTATTTTACTATCTGTTCTGTAATGAATTGTAAGATCAGAATCATTAAAAAGAAAAGAGGAGGACCCAATATCAAAGGATTCTCCCTTTTTGATGGTCTTGATTTTATAGTCCATGGTCTTGATTTTATAGTCCATCACAAGATAGATTGTAAAACAATTTTCATATATACATATACCAAAACTGAGTCTGCTGGCATGCAAAGATAGCTCTCCCTCTCCTAGGCTTTATAAGGATTTAATTGAAAATCTATAAAAAAAAAATAAAAAAATGAAAGGGATGGAGAGAGCCCATTCCTCCGAACTTTTAGTACTAAAGACTAATTAATTCCAATATATATACCAACAACAATTTATAGAAGAGTGTACATAAAAAAGTGTTACAAATTTCTTACAACGATTTATGTTAAGTACATGATATATTTGAACTTTGATGTTTACTACATATAGATACGTATCACATTACCAATATCAGAATGCATGCGCCTTCTTTTAAGGCAGAACAAAGAGATAATGAAAAATCATCAGTTTGATTCTCTTAGTGCCAAACTCAAACATGAAACACATTTGTAACTCTTTTTTAAGTATCCTTCCTACAAGTTTCATTTTTTTATTTTTTAAATTTCCCCCAGTTTTCTCTTTTTGTTACTAATATTGCGTGACTAGTGGCCAGGAAAGAGACATAAGATTCAAAAAAATCCACACGATCAATATTCTCTCACCCGATGACTATCACCACCATCAGTTTAGACATGTTAATATATGAAAAATTAATTTTTTTAAAAAAATTTATATTATTTTTTATATAATTTTATATGTTATTTAAATAATTGATTTTTTTTATTTATTTAAAATTTATATTCACTTATTAATAATAACGTGTGAAAGTTATTTAAAGACATTTTACACAAAAAGTTGTCCTTATATGTCACTGGCACTACTTTTAACATATTTAAAATTCAATTGAAATCATTTCCTAAACAAAAAAAAAATCAATTGAAATCAAATATGATATAGTCAGTACTTAAATGAAAATACAAGTCTTATTTTCTAATCAATTAAGATGAGACCATGCATGTTTTAGCTTTTATTGCTTAAAATATATTAGTGATATCATATATATGGTCCATCTCATGATTTATCCATCATGATCATATATGAAATATATTCCTAAACGATTCGATTTCTTCTGATGACTGACATATTAGTTTGTTTTTCCCATTTAATCATGAGACATCCGACACGGAGTTGAAGTTAAAGGATTATTTAAAAAAAAAAACACCTTGTGACACATTACTTGTAGAATCCTAAGTTCTTTATATATATACCGACGGTTACATTAAATGTTCTCCAAATGATTCCACGTTTATAATCTTCAGTTCCCAGCTAAATAGACAGCTCTCCTTTTCTAGTTGTGTAGCTGTCAAGGTGTTTTTTTTATACACCTTTTGTCTTATAAACCAAGTTAAGTACTCCTTCCATTTAATATTTTATTTAAGGTATTTAAATTTAATTGTTTATATTTTTGAAATATATTTTTATTTTTAAAAAATCATTATAATATAAATAAATATAAATTTTTATCAATTAATTATTATATTTTTATTTTATTGAACAATAATAATTAAATTTATTAAAATGAAATGAAGAGACTATAATATATATTTTATTCAAGAAGCAAGACTTATATCTTCAGACAAATATTAAAATATATAAGAGTCTTAAGAGACTATAATATATTTTTATTCAAGAACCGACACTTATATATTGAGATAACTATTAAAATATATAGGAGTCATTTATTGAAATTATTTTTAACTATCATGACATCATGGAACACGTAATTTATTTCAATTTCACATTTAAGTTTCAAACCCTAAGCACTAGGAAGCTAAAAAAAGTTCCAACATGAAGTACCTTCTAAACTAATGAGCTATATATGTTCAACTCTAAGTTTTGACTGTAATGAATAAAGAAACAGGCATCTTTCATCATCTTCGAGGAAAATAAAAGCATGCAAAGTCCAATGCCGAGAATTAGATGTACTAGGTGACAGGGAAAGATTCGATTATATGCATAGTATCCAAAAATCCAAACATGGCCGTGAGACTAGAGAAGCAATGTTTGACAATCGCAATCTCTCAAGGTAAGCCACAACTGACCTGAAATTCAATTGCTAGGCCTAGGACAGAGGCGATGGATTTCCAACGCAATGTGCTTGTATTCAAAGTTCAACCCAAAAGAAAAAAAGTATAGAACTCAAGAAAGCAGTAAGTTAGCTCGTGATCACATGAAAACAAAGTCACTCAACTTGATGTTGGCAGTGGCAAGTTATACCTTTAGAAGGGTTTCCACTTTTCCTCTCCAAAAGCAAACTTTATTGTAAATATTTTTTTAGGATTTGAAATTTTCTAATTGCACAATATATATGTAATTAGGATTTATTTATACTTAATTTTACACATATTATTTATATAAAATCTTACTCATTCATTTTTTTATTATAAATAATTAAAATTTATAAAATTTTTTAAATAAAAAATAATGATGCAGAAACAATTATGTTGGACGGTGGGTAGTCAAAGCCTCTTAGTACTATTGAGACTTTTTTTTGGTTGGGTTTTTCCTCGTAATGGCCAATTTTAGTAAACCATAAATCCCATTGTTAGTTGTACAAGTTAAGAACCTCTGTGCTCGTTATAAATAGCATTGTCCATTGAATCAATGACTTATTAGTTTGAATAAAAATAATTCAGTTTTCTTTAAATAAAATTTTAAGTTTAAATCTTTTAAATGGAAAAACACGTATTAAAAGAGTTCCTTTATTTTAAGACATGACATAATTCAATTCTAGATCAATTAAATTCAATAAAATTTTTGAATATCAAAGATTAATATACATAAAAAAAAATAAAAAATAAAAAAACATTGCGCTGTTCAAAAGAAAAAGATAAATAAATATGTACTCGGCATCTTTCACCATCTCAGAGGAAAATAAAAGCATGCAAAGTCCAATGCCAGGAATTAGATGCACTCGGTGGTATGGAAAGATTCGATTATATGAATAGTATCCAAAAATCAAAATACATACAGCAGCAAATCCAAAAATCAAAACACGGCCGGTGAGACTAGAGAAGCAATGTTTGACGAGGGCAATCTCTCACGGCAAGCCACAACTGACCTGAAATTCAATTGCTAAGTCTAGGACGGAGTTGGATTTCCAACGCAAAATGCAACTCTGCATTATCAACTGGGTGTGTAAGAATAATAAAATTATCATTATTTTTTAATTTGCATCTTTAGAGTATAAAATTAAA